ATAACTCAATATCAGCCAGTGAAATTGAGAATGTAATTAAAAACTTGCCAGTGAAGAAAAGCCCGGGTCCTGATAGATTCACAGCTGAATTCTAAAGGTAATTTAGGGAGGATTTAACACCAATTCTTCTCAAACTCTAACAAAATTGAAATGGAAGGAACTCTCGCCAACTCATTCCTGGAGGCAAATATTAATCTGATACCAAAATCAGAGAAAGACCCAATCAAAAAGAGAACTACAGACCAATCTCTCTAATAAATATAGATGCAAAAATTCTCAATAAAATACCAGCAAACAGAAAACAACAAGTCATCAAGAAGATTATACACCACGACCAAGTGGGATTCATACCAGGAATGCAGGGATGGTTCAGTATACACAAATCAATCAATGTAATACACCATGTCAATAGAGCCAAGGACAAAAATCATATGACAATCTCCATTAATGCTGAAAAAGCCTTTGATAAAGACTAACACTCATTCAAGATGAAAACCCTAGAAAAAATAGGAATAGATGGCCACTACGTCAAGCTACTCAAAGCCATCTATGATAAACCAACAGCTAATGTCATACTAAATGATCAAAAATTGAAAGCTTTCACTTTAAAATCAGGAATAAAACAAGGTTGTCCACTGTCACCACTCCTATTCAGTATAGTTTTGGAAATATTAGCTACAGCAACTAGACAAGAGAGAGAAATAAAAGGAATAAGGATAGGAAGGGAAGAAGTGAAATTGTCATTATTCGTAGATGACATGATACTCTACATAGAAGACCCTGAAAACTCCACCAAAAGGCTCATGGATTTAATAACCAAATTCAGTGGTGTAGCTGGATACAAATTTAACACTCAAAAGTCAGTAGCATTCCTGTACACAAGTAATGAACAGGCTGAGAGGGAAATTAGGGAACCCACACCTTTCACAATAGCATCTAAAAAGATGAAATACTTAGGAATCAATCTAACAAAATAAGTAAAACATCTATACAGTGAAAATTATAGTACTCTGAATAAAGAGACTGAAGAGGATATCAGAAAATGGAAAGATATTCCTTGCTCATGGAGAGGAAGAACCAACATTGTGAAAATGACCATACTCCCAAAATTATTGTACAGATTCAATGCAATTCCAATTGAAATACCATTAGTATACCTCACAGATCTGGAGAAAACACTCCTAAAGTTCATCTGGAACCAGAAGAGGTCTAGAATGTAAAAACAAACTTGGGAAACAAAGGAAAAGCAGGAAGCATCACAATTCCTGACTTAAAATTATATTACAAAGCTACTGTGATAAAATCAGCATAGTATGGGCACAAAAACAAACCTAAAAATCAACGGAACAGATTAGAAGATACAGATACAACTACAAACACACTCAATTACCTTATCTTTGACAAAGGGGTCAAACATGTCCAGTGGAAGGAAGATACCCTCTTTAATAAACGGTGCTGGAAAAACTGGCTTTCCACATGCTGAAGACTAAAACTAGAACCATGTCTTTCACCATGCACTAAATTAAAGTCAAAATAGGTCAAAGATCTAAATATTAAAACAGAAACACTAAATTTATTGGAAGAGAAAGTAGGTAAAAATCTTGACGACATTGGGGTAGGCAGAGAGTTCATGAACAAAAACCAAACTTCACGGGAAATACTTCAGAGAATCAACAACTGGGATCTCATCTTATTGAAAAGTTTTTGCACAGTGAAAGAAATCACCAAGAAAGTAAAAAGAAAACTCATGAATTGGGAAAAGATTTTAGACAACTGCCCTTCAGACAAAGGACTTCTATCTAGAACATATAAAGAATGAAAAAAAAATTAAGCCCTCAAAATTCAAAGACCCAATCCAAAAATGGGCATCTGAGATCAATACACACTTCTCTAATGAAGAGATACTAATGGTGAATAAATACATGAAAAAATGTTCAACATCATTGGTCATTAGAGAAATGCAAATTAACACAATACTGAGACTCCATCTCACTGGAGAAAGAATGGCTATCATCAAGAAATCAACCAATAACAAATGTTAGAGAGGCTGTGGGGAGAAAGGAACCCTAGTCCACTGCTGGTGGGAGTGTAGATTGGTGAAACCACTGTGGAAATCAATTAGGAGATGCCTCACAAAACTAGGATTGGAAGTCCCATTTAACCCAGCTATTCCCCTTCTTGGTATTTTCCCAGAAGAATTAAAGATATCATACCATAGCGATATATGTGTACCCATGTTTATAGAAGCACAATTTGTTATAGCTAAATCTTGGAAACAACCCAGATGCCCATCCACTGAAGGATGGATAAAAAAGATGTAGTATTTTTATACAATGGAGTATTACTCAGCTATTAAAAAAGACAAACAAGGCTTTTGTAAGTAAATGGATGCAACTAGTGACCATACTCATAAGTGAAATAAATCAGACCCACATGTGTAAATATCATATTGTCTCCTTGGTGTAAGAACCTGAAAGACTAGATAAAACTCAAAATGACAATAGATGATAGGAAAGGGAAAGAAATTGCTCAAAGGAAGGAACGACTGGGATTAGGGAAAGAAGAAAAATGAAAGAAGGTATGCAAAATATAAATATATATATGAATAGCTGCGATGACTGTATTGCTGATATCTGATGGTGTATTGAAATGAATAGTTAATGCTTACAATTTTTTATGTTCTGATTAACTTTGCATGCTTGTGTCTGGTGGTCTGAGCAACTGATTTGAAGGTAACAACATGCAATGGAATTACGATGGTGAACTCCTACCATCTTGTCTAGTGAAACTCTGTATTACCTCTGTTTTATCGAAGAATTATTTTCTTATTCTCTTTAATGGTTTGAGCAATATTTCTTTCTTACATCTAGTAATATGAGCATTGTAGTTGAGGATAGCAATATGTAATGTAACAACAACTGTTGATTCGTACTATTTTCTATTGAGACCCTGTATCACTTTGAATGTTCTTACTCTATTTATGTTCATGAGGCTGGTATGCTGCTACTGTTCTATTTCTTTGTTTATTTGGTTGTCATTTACTACTCTCTTCAAACTAAAAAAATAAAAAAATAAAAAAGACATCCAGATATTTACTGTTGTTTTATCTAGAATAGGAGCAATTAAAATACAAACAAAACAGGTGTCAATTAATAAGAGACACTATTACAATACTCCCTTTTTAGGAGTACTATGTAGTTATTTAAAATGCTAAACAACCAGGCGTGGTAACTCATGCCTGTAATCCCAGCACTTGGGAGGCTGAGGCAGGAGTATCATTGGGAATTTGAGACAAGCCTGGGCTGCAAAGTGAGCTGCAGAGTGAGACACTGTCTCCAAAGACAAAAAATAAATGAATGAATGAATGAATGAATAAATAAATAAATAAAATGCTAGGCTTTTATCATTAAAACATAACAAGTGAATAGCTATAAAACATTCCATGGGCACTGATTAAAAGTGACATTTTACAAACTCACCAAAGCAATAATTACTTTTGTGGTAATGAGAATGAAAGCCTGGGCCTCCCTCATACTAAACATGCACTGTATCACTGAGCTACACTGGTGGGCTCAAAATACTGAGTTAAAAAGCCTTTAGAGGAAATGTATCAGCTGGGCATAGGTTATTTTTTCCTCACATTTTTCATAACATTTCAAATGTTCCTTTATGGGTATATGTTTAATGTATACGTCATGCTAACATACATTTAATATTTTTAATAATAAACTTTAAAACTGGCATATAGTTTCTTCATTCGTGATTTCATAGGCATGTGAAAATATTGGTATTTCTATATTGTATCAACATACTAAAGGTATATATTTTTATTTTTATTTTGAAAGCTAAATCATTATCCCAAGTTTATGACTGAATTCTTTATTTCCTTTTCGAAGTTAATTTCTTTTGGTAAGTAGGAATTATAAACATGACACAAATTTTAAAACTGCAAAATGGAATGTAAAATTAAAATTAATATTTCCTTTTAGCATTATTCCATTTTCTCTGTTTTCTCTAATTTCATACACATCATTCCAGAGATAACCCAAACTTAAGCAACATCTATGTATATATACTTTTTAAATGCTGTAGTTGGTAATTTTTTTATATTGAGCAATATAGTTTGAAAGTACCCATGACAATTCGGTAGAATTGTATTATTCTTTTAAATTCTCTTTTAAAGTCTTTTAAATTCTCTTTTAAATTCTTTTAAATAACTTCAGTATTGAAGTACATGAAAACATCACATAGTGTAGTAGTTTTCTAAGTTTACTCTGCATTAGAATCACCTGCCGATTGATATAGCACAGTTTATTGAAAACCACACTCTTGATTTGGTGATCTGATAGATCTATGGTACAACCTGAGGATATGCATTTCTATCATGGCTCCAGATGCCGTTAATTCTTCTGCTCTAGGAACCATGCTTTGAAGATCACTACTTTGGAGAGATAGTTACTCACACTCGAATGTTTAGACATCTCCAAATATTTTTGTGGTTTTTTTAAACTATGAGCAACCACAGCTCTTCCTGTTTTGCATTTCCACAACTAGCTTTTACCCTTTTCATTGTGACTTGATTATGTACTTTATTTAAGAGCATTCATCCCTCACATATCAGAGCAAGTTCATCAGGCCAGGCCGGATCTACATTCTGTTTGAGTCTCAAAATGGCTAGCATATGCCTTGTTAGCTGCTGGTACACAGGGAGTTTCGGGAATAAATGATCTTTCATAAAAATAAAGCACTATAATATCATGCAGCAAGAAAAAAATCCAAAGAAGTATTTCTAATAGCAAACCTAAACTGGAAAGCTTTATAAAAACCACAAATGCCCATTCGAGTCTAGAAGTTTTATTTACACAGGCTGTAGTTTCAACTACTTGAGAAAAATGCTTCTATAAGGTGATATTAAGATAACTGAGTGCTAAGGGTCAGCTTAATTTCTCAGACTTAGAATATACCTAGAAACATTTCATTCTGCTTCTACTATCAGAATTCCTGTAGAATCTGGAATCACTGCTTCTTTTAAATGCCTGTATTTGGAGAATTCAGGATGAGAAAACCATTTCAGCTCTCAGACCTATGTTTAGCAAACCTCAAAGTACATATCAGTATCTTGAGGAATAATCCTGGAGCCAACATCCTTTTCCTTTTGCATGAGAAGACTACTACTGTATTCATCTGCTCATTCTCTGAGGATCTTCCATGTAGTTTCCTTTGTTTTCATGTAGTTTGCGTTATGTTTACGTTCCTCAAACTTAAGTAGCACTTTCCCTCCTGGTGTTGATCTAACTACAGCAAAACACATCACATCTTCAAATATGTATACACCAGTGTATTTGGGTACATACCTTCCAAATCAAAACGTTGGCACACTATTAATTGATTTACCTATTAGAGTAGAAAATCGAGATGGATAGTATGAAGGAATCAAATTAAATTTAAAGCACACACTAACACAAATAAATGCTTTTAAGATTTTTAAAGTAATCGATCAATTATCAGTATCTAATTTTTCTGTCACATATCTTGTATGCTATGGGGGAAATGAGATATTAACATTTATTTCCCCATAGACACCAGCAAATAGAACATTGTTATTCTGCAGAATGTTTTGTGCTGTACATATTGTTAATGTATTTAATATTTTGGTTAAGAAAAAGTTATTGAACAATACTTTGGTTATATTTTTTATAAATATTTAAATTCTGAGAGAATTTTCTATATGCAATTTGAAGTAAAAATTTAATGTAGTTTTTATTCAAAATTCTAAAAAAGTTTATTACTCATATTTATATTCACTTGTGAGATGTTTATAGCTATGTATTGAAAATCTAAACAATCTTTTTGAAGAAGTATTATGAAATAAGATGTGATCAAATTGACAAAGCCAGCTACTCAGAGAGAATATAACAGGAAATTATGTCAGAATTGATAGATAAATAAGTGATAATTTAATCTCATTCAATCTGGTGCAGAGTAACTTTCCTAATATTAGTATCCATAGTTCACATTTGTATATTAGTCTGTAAATACTCAAATATTAGATGAAATGAAGATTTCTGGAAACTAGGCATTTGTACTTAAATGGATTTCCAAGGAAATAAATTTGTAAGTAGAGATATTATATCATTCAAAATTTAAGCTTACTACCTTAATAAAAATGAAAATTGAAGTTGAAATGTAAAATCTAAATGTTAATGTTATAGTATTTTAATCTATAATCAAAATTTCATTGCATAAATTATAGACAAATTTATATTATTATGGATCTAATCAGTTATAAAATACATTACTGTACCCCAACCAGATGTTCCAGTCCAGCAGGAGAGTTAGATATTATATCTGATGAACGAGTCCATTGTATTGCACGTTGTTTATCATAGAAATCCATAATCTGGAGTACATGAGTGGTCTAGAGTGGGAAAGATTGAATTGCTTGAGCTTTTTAGTTTTAAAAGTTAACACCACTGAAATATATTACTCTGGTTAGAGTCAAGAATCAACTTCAACTCCAGGTTTTTTTTCTTTCAGTGGTATAATATCCACACTTTATTTTAAGTTGTTTTAAATTAAAACATTTGTGATCTTGTATATATAGTGTATTTCTTAACTAAAACTAGAAATCAATCTTGAGAAAACAAGAAGTCAAGTCATGATAATCTAAGTGTACATTGTTATACCTATTCCCAGGTGACCTTGACCTAGTTAAAGAAAACTGCATCTTTATGTTTCAGAATAATTTGAAAATGGCTATCAGAACTCTATTCTCACTGGGTGTGGTGGCACATGCCTGTAATCCCAGCACTCGGGATGCTGAGGCAGGAGGGTCATTGCAAGTTCAAGACCAGCCTGGGCTAGAAAGTAAGCTCAAGGCCAGCCTGCACTGCATAGTGAGACCCTGTCTCAAAAAAGACAAAAAAAGAGAGAACTCTATTCTCCATATGTCCAATGTTTTTTTGTGACTGGTAGATACTAATAATACATAATAATGAAATTTATTTGGGTATAATAGTGCCTGCATATAACATTTGATTTATTTCCATTGCTGTTACCACCTTACCCTTTCTGAATCCCTCCTCCTGCTTTCTTTCCCCATCTGTTTTTTTATTTATAGATTGCTTATATAAGAGAAAACCTGTGATACTTAACTTTCTGGAACTATACTTGCTTAACACGATTTAGCATGATGGTCTTTACTTCCATCCATTCTTCGACAAATAACTTGATTTTTTTTCTTCTTTATTGCTGAGTAATACTCTGTTTTCTTTATCCATTCATCTGTTGATGGGCATCTGACCTGTTTCCACAGCTTAGCTATTATGAATTGTGGCATTTTGAAACATGGGCCATGTATTATTGTAGTATGCTATTTTTAATTCTTTTGGCTGTATACTGACTACAGCTGAACAAATGGTATATCTATTTTTAATTTTTTGTGGAACCTCCATACTAATTTCCCTAGTGGTTGTATTAGTTTCCACTCCCGATGTGGGTACTGTTTTTCTGCCTTCTCCCCAGCATTCATTTTGTTTTCTTTTTTTTTTTTAAAGAAAATAGTACAAAAAAAAGAACAATAGCAAAATACAAAATCAATACAACGACATTAAAATTGATACAGGGATTCAAACCAAATGATAGGTATTAACGGTGGTTGTTATATTACATATTGTTATCTTCAATGAAGTTGCTCAGATTACCAGATGTAAGAATAGAAGATTGATCAGATCATTAAAAGTAATAAGAAAACAATAATTTAAAAGAACATTAGAGACAATACATAGTGTCACTAGGCAGGATTGTAGGAATTCACCAACGGTTGTTATACTGCAAATTGTTGTTGTCACATAAGTTGCTGAGATTACCAGATATAAACATGCAAAATTGGTCAAAATATTTTAAAAAAAACTTTTAATCATAACTGTTCCCCTTAACAAACCATCAGACACCAGAAGTACAGTTATACCACCGATCCACATATATATAACCTTAGTACTTTCTTTTTCTTCTTTCCCTCATCCTAGTTGTTCCTTCCTTTGAGCAATTTCTTTCCCTTTCTTATTATCTATTCTAAACCCTGGAGTATTAGCTATAAAAAAAATAAACTTGAGGCTTTTATAGATAAATGGATGCAACTAGAGACCATACTCATAAGTGAAATAAATCGGTCCCACCTGTGTAAACATCACATTGTCTCCCTGGTGTAAAGAACATGAAAGAGTAAATAAAACCCAAAATTGTTTTCTACTCTTGATGAGAGCTTTTCTGCCTGCAGCCGATGGAATTTCAAAATAATTTTGACTTGCATTTCCTTAATGGTTAAAGTTGCTGGACATTTTTCTCATGTACTTATTGGTTATTATTACTTCTTTTAGGAACTGTCCAATTCATCTACTCATTTATTGATTGAGCTATTTGTTTGGAAGGGTTTTCTTGGAGTTAGGTTTTTTGAATTCTTTATGTACAGGATTCTTGATGTTAATTCTCCACTGGAAAAGTAGCAAGAAAAGATTTGCTTCTATTTTGTAAGCTGTCTCTTCACTCTGTTGATTGTTTCTGTGATGTACAGAAGCTTCTTAATTTGATGTAGTCAACATGTTGACTATTGCTGTTATTCCCAGGGCTGTTAGGGTCCCATATAGGAAGGATCTGCATGTGTCTATGGCTGTAAGTGTTTCCGCTATATTTTCATCCAGCAGTTGAAAAGTTTCTTGTTTTATATTCAAGGTATAGGTCCATTTAGATTTAATTTTAAGGGCCGGGGATGTAGCTCAGCAGCATAGTGCCTGCCCAGCAAATGTAAGATCTTGAGTCCAATTCTCAGTACCAAAACAAAACAAAACAAATTTATAAAATAGATTTGATTTTAGTAGAGGGTGAAAGAAATCTACTTCCTAGCATCTGTACATGGATATCCAGTTTTCCCAGCATCCTTTATTATAGTGGCTGTTTTTTCTCCGGTGTATTTTTTTTGGCTACTTTGTGAAAAATCAGATAGTGATAAGTACATGGTTTTTTCTCTGTTCCAGTCCACTGCTCTACATGTCTGGTTTCGTGGCGGTGCCATGTTACTGCTTTTAGTGTAATTTGTATGGTTTAAGATCAAGTATCATGGTGTCTCTAGCATTGCTCTTATTGCTTAGGACTGCTTTGTCTATTCTGGGTCATTTGTGTTGTCATACGAGTTTTAGGCCTGTTTTTTCTAGTTCTGTGAGGAATGTTGGTATTTCAGTAGAGATTCTCATTGAATCTGTGTATTGTTTTTGGTAACATACCGCTTTCACCAATATTATTTCTGTTCCCCAGTGGGGAGCCTTCCCTTTCACGTTTTCTTCAATTTATTTCTTCAGTGTTCTGAACTTTTCATTGTAGCATTTTTTTGTTTTTTTTATTTGAGTTAATTCCTAGGAGGTTTTGTTGTTTTGGTTTTTTAGCCATCGTGAATGAAACTGTTTTCCTGATTTCTTTCTCAAAAGGTTAATTGTTAGTGTGTAGGAAAGATATTGAGTTTTGTGTGTTGATTTTGTATTCTGTACCTACAAGTCTTAAAGCACTTCTCATGCTGGACGTGGCAACATTTTGTCCTGGCCAGAAAAATTTTTCGAAGTTTAGTTTGGACCAATATCTATTTCCGGTGCCATGTGTCTAACAAACAAGAACAAATGTCTGTGGAGCTGAAGTCTTCTTATTGACTTGTTAAATTTTATTCTCAGTGTTTTTCTCAGGATTCTCAGAATTAGATTTAAGGAATAAATGTACCAAACCTGCCTCCAGCTCAGAGCTCAAAAGGTTAATTCTATTCCTTCAAGGAAAAAGGAGGGGGAAAAAAGAGAATAGAAGGAAGAAAGGAAACAAAGCTTTGGTAAATGGGGAGGGGAAGAAAGGTTGTAGTGAGGGCGAGGGGATGGGGATTTAAAAAGAACAATTAAGATATGACATGTAGAGGTACAAATTGCAGATGATGAATGTGATCCCTATGAATGACAAATATGTACTAATAGAAAATTTAAAGTTAAAAAAGTTAAATCTCACCGTGTCTATCAATATCTTGAAAGTATTGCAGAATTTACTCACGATTTTAGAGTAAATATTGTATGATCAAGTCTCAAAAAAGATACAAGAAAAAAATCAAATGAAGCATATGCAAGAGATAAACATGAATCCTGATAATTGTGAAAATTTAGCTTTGCAAACAAAAGTTACTGTAAAAAGAATAAAATTTAACTTGCAAATTTACATTCTAAAGATACACAGACTATGGAATAACAACTGAAGTGAAGAAAGGATCTTCGAAAAAGAGAGGTGCATATAAAGTTTTGAGTTATTTTGATGTTGGTTTGGATGAATCATGTGGTAATTCTGTATACAAATTTTGAGGAAATGTGAAATATTTTCCAAACTGGATACTCCAATTCAGAGTCTCACTAGCAATGTGTGACTGCTGCAAATCTTTCACATCTTCTCAAACATTTGTTATTTTATATTTTCAGTTATCTTCTTAATTTTAAAAATTGAAAAACTGACAAAACAACAATAAAGACAAATCAAAACAACAAAAATGATACATGACGTCAAGACAAAAATGATAAAAATTTACAATGGTTGCTGTATTACATACTGTTATCTTCAACCAAGTTGCTCAGTCCATTAGACATGAGAATGTAAGATTGATCAAATAATCAAAGACAGTAACAAGTAAAAAAAAATAAAAATAATTTTAAAAAACATTGGAAATGATGCAGAGCTTCACCATTGAAAATGGTGGGAGTTCAACTATGGTTCTTATACTGCATACTGTTTTCAGATCAGTCATTCTAATTACCAAATTCAAGAGTGCAAAACTGGTCAAGAGAAAAGAAAATTTTAAGCATTGACTGTTCCTCTCCATAAACTACAGACATCAGCAATACAACTATTCCAGCTATCCATATATATATACACATTTAATTATAACTACCGTAATGGATGTTAAGCCTTACTTCACTGTGATTTTTTTTTTGGGGGGGGGTGGTTTTTTTTTTTCCAATACTGGAGAGTGAACTCACTACATTACGCTTGCCAGGCAGGGGCTGTGCCGCTGAGCTAAATCCCCAGCCCCACTTCACTGTGGCTTTGACTTATATTTCCTTAGAGACTAATAAGCTTGAACAACTTTTCCTGTCATTGGCCATTTGTACATAGCTTTTAGAAAACCATCTATTGAAATCCTTTGACCATGTTTTTATGTTATAATTTTATTGTTACAAGTTGTGAGCTTTTTCATATGTTCTAGATAAAACTTTCTTATAATAAAATTTGCAAATGTTTTCTCCCATCATGTGGGTTGTAGTTTCACTCCATGATTTCTACTAAAGCATAAATGTTCTTAATTTTTGATGTAGCCCAAGTTATCTATTTTTGTTGTTATCATGGCTA